ATTCAGTAAATGCAGATGTGGATTCATATGTGGGTACTAAAACACATTAATTATGTCTTATAGACAGGTAGGCAAGATTTTTATAAACTAAGGAGCTCTTATTTGGAACAAATGACATGATTACTGTTGATAACTCTATAGATGTGATCACAAATTACTGAACTCGCTAATGATTCTTGGGAACCACCCAATTTTTTAATTAATTTATTTTTAGTTTTCAACATTCACTTCCATAAGCTTTTGAGTTTTAAATTTTCTTTGCCTCCCTCTTCTCCCCCCTCCCCAAGATGGTGTGCAGTCTGATGTAGGCTCTACATATACATTCTTATTAAACATATTTTCACATTAGTCATGTTGTAAAGAATTAGAACGAATGGAAGGAACCACGAGAAAGAAGAAACAAAACAAAACAAAAAAAGAGAGCAAATAGTATGCTTTGATCTGCATTCAGACTCCATAGTTCTTTCTCTGGATGTGGATAGTATTTTCTATCATGAGTCCTTTGGAGTTGTCTCAGATCCTTGTATTGCTGAGAAGAGCTAAGTCTATCAAAGTGAGTCATCATACAGTATGGCTGTTATTGTGTACAGTGTTCTGGTTCTGCTCACTTCACACGGCATCAGTTTATGGAAGTCTTTCCAGGTTTTTCTGAAGTCTGCTTGCTCATCATTTTTTATAGCACAATCATATTCCATTACATTCCTATACCACAGCTTGTTCAGCCATTCCCCAATTGATGGGCATTCCCTCAATTTCCAATTCTTTGCCACCACAAAAAGAGCTGCTATAAATATTTTTGTACATGCGGGTCCTTTTCCCCTTTGTATGATCTCTTTGGGATACAGCCCTAGAAGTGGTATTGCTGGGTCAAAGGGTGTGCACGTTTTTATAGCCCTTTGGACATAGTTTCAGGTTGCTCTCCAGAATGGTTAGATCAGTTCATAACTCCATCAACAATGCATTAGTGTTTCAGTTTTCCCACATCTTTTCTAGCATTTATCATTTTCCTGTTTTGTCGTGTCAGCCAATCTGATAGGTGTGATGTGGTACCTAAGAGTTCTTTTGATTTGCATTTCTGTAATCAGTGTTGCTTTAGAGCATTTTTTCATATGATTATAGATAGCTTTAATTTCTTCATATGAAAACTGCCTATTCATAGCCTTTAACCATTTATCAATTGGGGAATGCCAGTCTTCATTTCTTAAAGAAATATACAGTTATCATTTCCATATCACAACTTTCGCCATTGTGGTTTTGATATATTGTAGGTTGGCATAAGAAGTTAAATGGGAATTTTGGGGGGGTTTTGTGGAAGCTGTACATAACACAAGAAGGCTAGCAGATGATATAGAAAAAACTCAGAAATGCATAAAATATATGTATAGTGTTGTATAATATCAACATATTTTATCTTTTAATACCATAATAATTCAGACTTCTTTTCTGGAATGAGGGGAGGGTCAAAAAATTTTACATGGATTTTCTAGATCTTGAGGATGCCTTGCCCCTGCCACGTGGAAAGGATAACTACGATAACACAATAGCTATTGTGATCTTTTTTCTGATAACCATTGTTGGAATAATAGTTAGAATAATTTGCTTCTCTTACAGAAATTTTCACTCATCTACTAAGATCTCATATGGAAAAAAGATCAAAAGATATTTCAAATACAGAAATTAAATAGCTGGTTTAATAGTTGACATAGTTGTGCTTGAAATTCCTTTAATTAAAGGAGAGAGAATACAACTGGGACTTAGGAAATTAAGTAGCTTTTAACATCTTGGTATTTTGTTTGGGACATGCAACAATATAATGATAATATGTTATACTACTATCATAATATACATTTCTATGTTATATCAAAGCATTTATGTATACTTTATCTCATTTAGTCTATGTGACGACTTTGTGAAGTAGGTAGGGTAAGTATTATCCTTTTTTTATAGTTGAGAAAAATTAGTCCTAGAGAAATCAAATGACTTAACCTATTTGGCTTATAAGTGGTAAAGGCAGAATCTGAGTTCTTGTCCAGTATTTTTTTCACTATGGTATGATGTACTTAGTAGTTAAAAATGAGGCACAGTAAAATAGAATCACAATTTATTATAGCATTAAGCAATCTTTATTCCATTTGTAGAGCTCTATCTTGGAGTTTGTTAGTAGACATCCTAGTATTTGAAAACTATGTTGCTTACGTTATGCTAAAATATAAGGGTTCTACATAAAGGAGAATAATACACAGTTTAGGTATCTTTTAAGCCCTGATCTAAGTTCTACTTGGATACATCCTTGTAGTAAGGAGTTCTTCAAGTCCATGTCTGTAAAGCTTCTAAGCTCATCTAGATTTAAAGCTAGGGTCATCTCATCTAGTCTTTTCCCTTCATTTTAGAAAGAAAGTGAAGACCAGAGAGGTTAAGGGATTTGTTCCAGGTCACACAGGTCATAAACATCAGAAGTGGGGCTTGAAGCTGTTCTCTGATTCCAGAACCAGGCTCTTTCCATGGCATCACACTGCCTTTCAAGAACACCAGCTCTGTCCAGGCCTTTGAGCTTTTAAAGACTTTGGTAGGGTTATCATGAGGCACTGACTGTTTGTTGACAGAGGACTAGCTAAGCTGGTTTGGAAATACTTTTCACCAAAAAATTGACCTGAATTTTTTTTAGGGGGACAGGACATAATAATTCCTGAGTTATCATCTACTGAAGTATGAAGGTTGAGTCTGCTAAGGTGAAGGTTTTGTCATCATCTGTGTTGGATAAGAAGATAGCCTAAGAAGTTTGAGAAATGGACCCAGAAACCCAAGTTTGAGTTCTGGTTCTGCCACTTACCAAATTACTTAATCTTTTGGTTTCTTCATCTACAAAATAGAAATAACCATCATAAACTAATTCATTCCCCTGTAGTTATGTGACAGACTATAAAACCTTTTTGAGACTCACAAACCACAATATTTGCTGTAACTACTGCTACAGCAGGTGCCATAAGAGGAATGATATCTAGGAATACTCAAAGAAAGTCTTCATATGTCACCATGGTAGAAGTAACTTGAGAAAAATAATAAAGATATGCAGAAATACATTGAAAAATTACATCAGTATCTAACTGCTATATCCTATAAATAACTTAAACATATTATTGCCCAGTTACAGGCAATAGCAACAAAATGCAGAATGGAATTCAGTCATAGTGCTTACTTTTGACACTATAGAGTGGGTAACAACAGACCTAGAAAGTTTCCAAACAAAAGCAGCCTATGCAGTGTTAGTAAAACACAAGGCTAAGATATTTATAAAAAGATCAACACTTCTCATCAAAAAGGAATAAAAGAATTGATAGGTGTTTTCAGAGCACATGATAAATAGCTGAAATATTTTTGAAACAAACAGACCTTAAAGCTGAAGTAAATACTGCCAGATTTGTCAGATATAATCTAGGGTAGTTTATTTCCAGATGGAGCATTTGAAATGACTATGATCCAGGAGTGGAATTAAAAAAAAAAACATCTCCAAGGGGAACATCTACACGAACTTAATCAACACTATGTTAACAAAGAAGAGTGAAACAAATATCAGAGTCATGCAGATTTATTTATAGAAATGGAAGGAAAGCTCATGATTCAGAATCGGGTCATTGATCAGTACAGTTTATACAGGGAAGTGGTAGAAACATATCTCTGCAGGTTCCAAAAATTTACCACTTCCTGGTTATCTTGAAAGACATGATCTAGTGGCTAGAATGATATGCTAGAAGCACTTGCTATATTTTATAAAGCATAGCAGGCAAATCCATGTATTACAAATGCTCCCTTCCTGCACTCCCTGATCCTTGAGAATTCAACAAATAAAACTGCTAGAAATGACGCATCATTATAGATAGAACTGACTATAAAAATTAACACAACTACCCAAACATAACATTGGGCCATTTTTAATCTAAACCCCATCAAAAAGGATGAAAAGAATGAGATAACAGTGGTAACAGTAATATCATTTGTTATAGGAGTCATATAGTATCAGAGTTTGCAAGCACTTTACATAGATTATGTCTTGTTGGGAAAGTATTTGACATGTACTAGGATGAAAAATATTTGTTTGGCTGGTGGATAGAATTAAGTGGAGGGCTGTATAGTATGAAATAAGACTGAAAAGTTCTTTATCTTCTGAGATTGGAGGGAAGGAGGAGGAAACAAGTGAAAACAGACATTTTGTAGAAGAAGACAACTGAAGTTAGAGTTCAGGTTGGTTATTTTTGGTCTTGGTAAAATCATAGCAGTTATCTGAGATAGTGGGGTTGAATTCTGAAGGCTTGAGGAAGAGACAGTGATAGGTGATGTGGGGAAATGTGACAGGGAGTTTATGAGAGATTAATAATTATCAAGCAACAGTCCAGACCAAGTGTGAGTTTATAAATGAAGTCATCATTAGACTTTACCACTTTCTTTAGCAGTGCATGGAACACTGGGATGAGGACCAGATAATTTGGACTCTTAGGGTTACTAAGATTTTAATAGGTCAGGATGGTGGGAGGTAAAATAGGTAAGAGATTCAGAAGTAGTGGTTAGGTAAATGGTTGGAATGACTGTGTGGTCAGAAGGACTATAAATACAACAAGGGGTCAAAACCATGTTTACTTTAAAGGTTGTAGAGGGGAAAGATAAAGGAATATTTTGGGGAAAAAGTATTAGTGTTGTTTTTCTAATGTGATACATCAGTATGCCAATAACCTGTAGTTTCATGGATATGAAAACTAATCTCAGAGAGTTGGCTAAAGTTTAGAGAAGTTAAATATTTTGCCCATAGTCTCACACAAAGTAAGTATCAAAGGGAGGATTTCAGTTCAGGTCTTGCTGACTCAAAAGTCCAGCACTCTTTTCAGTTTTGCTAAGCTGCCTCTATAATGTGTAGTTTTACAAAAGGAATCTTTAATTTACTTGATAGTTATAAGTAAAAGATTATTTTTTCTAGAATGAATTATTGCTTTTCCCTTTTTATTTCACAGGTATCCGTGGGGAGATCAATGTAGTTGTAAAAGTAGACCTCTTTAATGATTTAAACCGTTTCAGGCAGTCATCTTGTGGAGTAAAATTCTTCTGCAGTAAGTAAATAATTTTAGTTGAAGTAGCTTGTTCTCAATGTGGAAAAATAAAAATGTGGAAAAGCAAATGTCTTTATCTTTTAAGATCTGAATGGAGAATGCGTACTCATCAAGAAATTATTAATCTCTACTTATGTAGAACATTTTTCTGGGGTCAAAAGCTTCCGACTTGGGGACAGCTAAGTGGAGCAGAGGTTAAAGCACTGGCCCTGGAGTCAGGAGGACCTGAGTTCAAATCTGGCCTCAGACACTTCACACTTACTAGCTGTGTGACCCTGGGCAAGTCACTTAACCCCATTGCCTATCCAAAAAAAGAAAAAAAGCTTCCAACTAAGCAGTAACTAGTTTTCTTAAATTTATATGTTTAGGCCTGAAAAATTCAGTAATATTTTGCTTTTGTATGAGGCACAGAGGACAATGCCATTTAGTTGTATCCCAGTTCTATCCCTGTTTTCAACCTGGTACATCTTTTCTATGGCTAAAAGCATGTCATTTTGTATTCCATGTATTAAATTAGTCTATTCATCTGGGATTTTGATACCATTTGATTATAATTTTTGTTTGCTAGTGGTTGCAGGAATGCACTATTGCCAGTAGACATTTAGATATGTGTTGTACTTTCAGAGGTAGAATGCCAAGTGACATGATTTTTAAAGACTGATATAGTCACGTCTGGAATAACTTTTTAAAAAATTTTAAAATGAATATTCATTTTATAGCTTACTGATTATTTTTTGCTTTTCTATTCCTAGCTGTCTGATTTATATTCTGAATTTTATTTGGATTTTATATTATATTATTTAATATTATCTATAGCAGTTACTGAACCACAAAAATAGATCTTAGGTGAACACTTCTTTAATGTAATTATGAGAAAGGGTGAGGCAGCATGGAATAGTGGATAGAAAGTCTACCTTGGAATCAGGAAGACCCAGGTTCAAGGCTGTTTCTGACATGTACTGGCTGTCTAGTGATGGATAGGGTAGGTCACATGACATAGTGCCCCAAGAAACCCTCCTAGGAGCTCAGTTAAAGACAAGTGGTGTTGATCTAAATTGGATAAGGAAGTCTCCACACTGAATGCTTCTTTATAAAAATGAAATCACAGGCCAGGACAAAAAAAAATGAAGAGCAAAAGCCTCCTGAAAGAAAATAGTATTTCTATGACTGATTATATCATATCCTTTGTGTGAAAGTAGCATGGTAGTAATTACTTCATTACAAAACCATAATTAAAGGGATATTCTTTAGTTTTAAGGTCAGCTGAGGATCTTGTATTTAAAGTGTTAATTGTGCTTGTTATAAATTAATAAATATAAAGATAGATCACTTTTTTTTTTCCTCCAAAACAGCAACATCTATTCCAAAGTGTTATCGAGCTGTAATCATTCATGGATTCGTAGAAGAATTGGTGGTAAATGAAGATCCTGAGTATCAGTGGATTGACCGAATTCGTACACCAAGGGCATCAAATGAGGCCAGACAGAGACTTATTTCGTTAATGTCAGGTATGTTTTCTTGTGAATTAGAGTTACAGATGAAAATATCTTATAAAGAGTTGGATCTAGAGCTTGGCAAAAAGATCAGTACTGGAGATACAGATTTGGGAATTATCTGAAGGCAGTGTGGTTAGTGAATTCTCATTTGCTGTGGAAACCTCATGTATGTGTTATCTCTTCCATTAGAATCTGAACTTCTTGAGAACAATGACTGCCTTTTCTCTTTGTATCCCTAGCATTTAATGCAGGAAGAAAGTGCTTAATAAAAGCTTTTTCTTTCATTTATTTGGGACTTTAAAAAGAGCCTAAGGGAAACAAGATGGGCTTTTATCTTATTTGCTACAAGCTATCTTGAATTTGTTAAAAACAAATGAAGCTGAGCTAACCTCATTTACTTTATCTGGTAGATTGTCCTGAATATGCAGAAGTCTGAGTAATGTAGTAGAAGGATCACTGCATTAGGAAGCAAGTGACCTGGGTTCTAGTAATCCCTCTGTCACTTATCAACTATGTGACCTTAGACAAGTCATCTAACCTCTCTGGGCTGCTTCTGCAAAGTGGGCATAATGATAACTTGCCAGCATGCCTGCCCAAATAAGGTCAGAATTCTAGATTAGGATCCTTTCAATTCTCTTCCAGCTTGAGATCTATGAAGATGAAGAAATGTGGGCTAAATGTTAATATAGTTAGGTAAATTATGAATTTCTTGAGCAATAATGGCTAAAGAGTATCAATTAATAGATCAGCATTGGTATAAGAGAAGTTCAAGATGTGCTACAGGATTCTGTCTTAGGCCTTATTCTAAAGTTTTACTGATGTTCTTTGTTTTTACATCATTGGCATTTCTGGAACCAAACCCAACCCTTCCGTGCATCAGAAGTTTGTTTTTTATCTTGGAAATAATAGTGAGTCACTGACTGAAGACATTTTAGTGAGGGACTGACATGGTCATATCTGTTTTAGAATGGTCCTAGCAACACATTAAGGCTACTTTCCAAGGACTAGCTTAGCTAAGTACAGAGAAGCTCATCACGAATAAGCCTGGCTACTTGCTGATGAATTCTTTGTCTGTGGCAACCCATGCAAAAACAAAAGCAAAGAATGTCCCTTTGTTCTCAGATGCCCCCTTCTAGTTCTCCAAGGATGGCAGAGTAGTTGAAAAGGAAATAGATGCTCGAAATCCCACAGTTTTTAGACCATCTATAAACTTTGATTGTTGATGCTATAAATGTGAAACCTTGAACCAGCGACCAAAAAATTAACATGCTGCAGGAGGAGCTGAATCATATCACTTGATATTTTTGCTATAAATAAAAACAGAAGAGAGAAGGAAATTGCTGCTAAATTGAGGGATGGATCACATGTACTCCTTGGAGAGTCAAAGAAAGGACTTTAGGGAGTTGGCTTTATTTTAAGCCCAAAAGCAAAGGGAAATATGACATCATGAGGCATTTGATCATGTTGTATTTCTATCCTCATAGTATATATTTACAAAAAGTGTACCATGAAATTGGTTGAAGCCTTTGCAGCAATTTCATTTGCAGAGAATGAAGAGGGAGATAAGTTTTATGAAAAATTTTGCTAAGATCCTTCGAGATGAAATCTTTATACATCTTGACACTTGATGACTTCAGTGCAAAGGTAGAAATGGGAGAAAATATTGATGAATACTTAAGAAAATATGAGTTAGGAAGAAGGAATAAGAGAGGCTGAAGACTTGTGGATTACAAAGAATCCTCATACCACTGTATCATGAATACTTAAAGAAAGGAACCTAAAGATTATAAACATCACAAAAACATAATTGATTTATTTTGTCGTGAAAAGACTAGTCATTTTTTGAAATTTTCTTTTTTTATAGTGAACTTAATCATCAACAAACATTTCAATTTGAATCATATAGTCAGAAAATGAACTTATTATAGGAAAGATCAGAATTAGTAAAAAGCTGGAAGAAAGATTGATAATGAGGGAAAAAATATGGCATGGAAGTGCATGTTGTAACTAAATTCTGACCTATTTAAGCAAGTAATTGATAATTTAAAATGGATAAAGCACTGTAGAAATGACTTTGACAAAGATTATAGTAATTTTATTTCGAGGTTTCACTGATGTAAATCCATTGCTATAGTAAGGGTACTAATCTCTGCCCCACAGATTTGGAGCGTAGAAATTCTCTTGTTGTACCAGGATCGAAGTACTGCCACGGGCACTTCCACTTTCAAGGCCTAAACATTGCCACTGTTGGGATCTGAACACTGTCCCAGTGTTCCACTGCTCACTTTAATAAGTGTGCTGAAGCTGCTATGTGTGAAAAGTTTCCATTTCTGCCATGGCAGGGTCTGTACTGTATCCCACTCCACAGAAAGTCCCTGTCCCAGTCCTTTCTGGAAACCCCAGTGAGAAAGAGCCAGAACAGAGCCTGGATCTTCTTTTAAACTAACCTAGCACACAGCACTCAACATCCTTTCCTTTCTCATCAAATCATGTGGGGATGTATTTAGCATATTTTCCTAGAGGAAGGATCAAGCATTGTTCTTTCAAATATCCTCCTTCCTTCCCAAATTCCTGGCACCAAAGAATCTCAATGAATACAGTTTACATGGCCTCCCATATGGAGTATAAAAATCCCCAAGCAATTTTTTCAGTACAGTTCTTAGTTCCAAAATTATCATTTCCAGGGAGGCTCTAGACCTACTGAAACTGGTAGGCCTGGAGGTTACTGTCAATGCCAGATAAATTCAATAAACAACAGTTTAGAGCATTTATAACTTCATGGCACAGTTCTTAAAGGTTCAGGGTACATTCATATCTATTTCTAGTTGCTTAATGCTGCAGTAAGCAATAGTTTACTCTCTAGTCTTCTTGTAACAACGAATGATACCTTATTGGTATATGGTCAGCACTTCTAAAACCAGGGAGGCCACCCAGGGCTTACCCTTCCTTTGCATTTCTCTTCTCCCATTTCAGTTAAATCATTCCAGTCTGTTCTTACTGTCTATGCCCTGTTTTGTAGTCCAGTCCTGACTCAGGGCAATCTGATAGTTCAGGTTATAGTTAGAACAAAAATAGAACAAAATAGACTATTATACAGTTAACAAAAGGAAATTTACTTAACAATAGCATAAAAAGAATACTTAGTATGACTACAGCATCTGTTCATTTGGGTGTAGCCTCCCTACCTATGTGTTGGCACTTCAGTTTTGTTTGTCAGAAGTCTGAAGGAAATATCCTTGCCTCTGTGGGACTGGCTTTTGTACTTAGGAAGCTAGGGCAGTGGTTTGAGTCAATTAAAGTCTCAAGGGTGGTTTCAGTATTTTAAAGAGAAAAGTAGTCTAGACTGAGTTGAGTAGAGCCTTGGAATATTATTATCCTATCCTACTACCACATTTGGACTTATAACATCATAGACCTGGATACGCTTATAGAAACAGAAGAAATAGCCCTAAAGAGAACAAAGTTAGAAAAAAAAAGCAACTTGTTTGTACCAAGTGCACCTTGTTTAGACCAACTTGTTTGGACCAAAAGCAGTTTGTTTGGACAGAAAACATCTATGCTAGAGATACAGGCATTGAGTTATCTAAAGGAATATACTAAAAGCATGGGAAAAATCCTGGACCTTATTAATAACCTTCTTTCCCTTTTCCTCCTCAAAAAAAAAAAAAGAAAAAAGAAAAGGTGACTAGGAGAATATCAACCATTACTGACCTATTTGCTTGCTTTTCCATTTCTACAAAAAAATTTTTGAGACTTTTTTACACATGCACCAAGGACACCTTCATAAACATATTGATAGGCAGTAGGTGGACTTTTGTATGTAAGATTCTTCAGTGGACCACATCTTTATAATGACACAATTAACTGAGTATCTGGATTATATGAGATCTCATTATGCTTTTTGTTGCTATTGTTGCTTATGGAAGAGCATTTGATTTGGTAGAACAAAATGATGCCTTAAGGTTCTCTTCCCAAGATGTGTCTCCTATCCATAAATTCAGGATTCCTTGAAATACGAAACAGAAACGACCCTTCTCATTACCCTCTGACCATAAGTATCAGGAGAGTCATAAAGCCGAGATGTATATTTATTGGTAGTATGATGGAGGAAGTCCAGCATAGAGTCCAAGTTGAAGATGAATTCCCTGTGAAATGTGAGATCCTCCAAATATTCCTGTTTGTGCCCAATACTGATATCTGCATCAAACCCTAGAGCATTGCAAAGCCTTCTGGAAGAGAACTGTATTAACTCAAAAGAGTTTGATTTGACCATTCCCCCAGGAAAGACCAAGTGGATGAAAAATGCTTTTTGTCTTGATTACAATATGCAGTTGTTTGGGCAATCTATAGAGCATTTTTCTCTGTTTATGTAGTTGGGACCGACCATATAAAAGAATGAATTGGGCTCAGAATTAAATAGGTAGAGAACAAGATAGATTACCTTTAGGAAGTTACAGAGCTCTTTTCTTTTTTTTTTTGGTGAGGCAATTGGGATTAAGCAGAGCTTTTTTAATGAACCTGAGCCTCTCTTGGAAACAAAGGCCCATCTTTTTAATATAAATATTCCACCAATATTGTCATATGGTTGCAAGATGCAGAGGACAGTCTCTGAAGAATTGAAAATAAATATCACACAAAATAGTGTGGCTCAGGGTGGGTCTAAGCATGTTGCAACATAAAACCATTAAGAGTAAAAGATATTAGGGAAATGTATGATAGGAAAAGAAGATGAGAGAGAGTCATGTATCATAGACAAAGGATGACAGGCGGAAAGCCCAAGTGCTCCACTGCCATCTTCCAGGTATCAAGTGAGAAAGTAGGACATTTAGTGGATTCCCTGTTGAGAACTTATGGGAAGACACAGAAACAGAATGCACAGGTGTAGATGGATTGCCCTCTTCATTGTTAGAGGGAACATCCAAAACAGTGAGATCACAGTTCCATTTGAGTAGAGACTGGATCAAAGATGAGGAGGAGGGATTGGACACAAGGAGACAAATTAGGAGACTGTTGCAATAGTACAGCTACTGATTGATGAAGTCCTGAACTAGGGTGGTGGTCATGCATGGAGTGAAGAAGTGAACTCCAGGGAGGTCTATTCAGACTTTGATGTCACCATGAGCCTGGCATATTCTCTTGATATATTTCCTTCATTTGCTGTGGCCTGAGCATCATGTCCTAGGTTGGCTATATCCCTGTTTATAATTTTTCTGTGCCCTTCCACATCCAGCATGAGAGTCAGACCTGGCTTTAGTGTGGAAGACCTCGTTTCAGAAGTGTCAACTGCTGCTCCTACTTAAGGGGTGGATGCTGTCCTGTGCCCTTCCTTCTTACCCCCTCCTTGTCCCTCTTTTTCCCTTGGATGTCTCAATTTATCCATATAATACTAATAATAGCTAATGTTTTGTATAGTGCTTACTATGTGCCAGGCCTTGTACTAAGTGCTGTACAGTTATTATCTTATTTGATCCTTACAACAGCCCTGGGAGATAGGTGCTATTATTGTTTTACAGGTGAGGAAACTGAGGCATAGAGAGGTTAAATTTATTGCCCAGGATCACACAGCTAATAACTGTCTGAGACTAGATTTGAACTTAGGTGTTCTTGACTCTGGGCCCAGTACTATCCATTGTGCCACCTAGTTGCCTTATGCGATATGCCCTTCATTTAAATGCCCCTTGAATTGATGCCACTTAAATCAAAGGGCCTACTGCTTTCAGCATTGAATGGTTTATCTAATTCTTCTGTAAAATTAGTCCCAGCAATGGACTTGAAGAACAGGTTTATATGTAGATGAGGTAGAGTGACGATGGAGGGATTGGGACTTAGGGAGATTGATGAATTTGGAAGGCAGAATATTTTAGGGGCCATTAACATATGTTGAAGCCTAAGATTTTGTCTAAAAAATAGAAAGGGAAAGAATATATAAGTTTATAATAAAAATTAAATCATGTAAATGAAAATTATAGCTGCATTGAGAAATAGTAGCATCTAGTGTCCGTGCCATCATTTACTAGGTGTGTGACCTTCTGTAACTTTTCTGAGTCTGTTTTCCTGTTGATAGAATGAGGAGTTTGGACTAATTGATACATAAGGTTTCTTCTAGCTCTCAGTTTGTGATTCTTTCAGTTTTGGTAATGTATTACCTATTTAGTTTCATGACATTGTTATTGATTTTCTAAAAGAGTTTGGGTTGTTTTCCTTCTAAATTATAGGTGAACTCCAAAGGAAGATTGGTTTGAAAGTACTTGAAATGAGAGGAAATGCAGTTGTTGGGTATTTACAGTGTTTTGACCTGGAAGGAGAATCTGGATTAGTGGTACGAGCCATAGGAACAGCCTGTACGCTGGATAAATTAAGTAGCACGGCAGCATTCCTTCCTGCATGTAATTCCCCATCCAAAGAAATGAAAGAGTAAGTATGAGTAAGTGCATAACTTTTAATGGAGAAAGCTGTTCATGTTTTTCCTGTGCATATTCATTTTATTTTAAACATGGCCAGTAGGGTGAGCCAGCACTTTTTATTAACATAGTGATTTTCTGTCAGAGTTCACTGTCAAAATCTAATCTATTCAGAAACTTAAAACTTCTTGTTTGTTTTTTAATCAGAAATTACAGTTATCTGGATTAGCAAATAAAATTTGTGCTGATGTATGTATTGTATAACACTCTCCTCTTCGGACTTAATTTTGGGTTAAGTATCTTTGTCTTAGAAGAGTATTTGTGGGTTGTGTTTTGCACATTTTCTGAGAAGTCCTAAAGACTCTTTGGTTGCTGATCCGTGTTCTGTTTATGATAATATAGAGGCAGCAGGCTAGGCTGATCCATGTGCTGGAGAGATTCTTCTACATCATGCCATCAGGAGCTATTAAATAGACTTCGTCCTATATTTACTAAACCCTTTTGGTGGTTATATCTGAAGAGGGTGGGTAAAACTCAACAGTTGGATGTATTTCAGTCAAATTAATAGAAAAATTATTTTCTCCATATTTCTTTTGACTACTCCTTTAAAGGACCTACTAAATTATTTTAAAATTCGAGTGAGGGGCAAAATGAGGGTAGAGGGACCTAGTTTTCCCATCTCTTGAGATTAACATCATAGGACCTATAACTGAAAGAAGACCTTAGTGATCAAAGTCCAATTTCAGCTCCCCATTTTGTAGTGGAGGAAACTGAAGATGAAGTGACTTGCCCAAGGTTTTATATCCAGGAAGTGACAAAGCTGTTTCTTAAACCAGGTCTTCTTACTCCAGGTGCTCGCTCTTTTTGCTGTCCTTTACAAAGAAAGTAGGTGGTACTTGCAATAAGAAGCGGTAGTGGGGCACCCAGATAGTTTTTTTTTCCTCGTCACGGAAGGATCCTAAAAGAAATATTGTGGTCCCGTCTTGTTTGTTTACTTGCAATGAATTCTTTGCGTTAGGGGTCTGGCTTTTGTAGCTATAATGCTTATAGCTCCCCTTATCCTTGTTTCATGTGGATTGCAGTAGAAAGAAAGATAGGAGATGGCTACATTACCTCTTTACATCTTGTTTGCTGCAGTGTTACGTGGCTAGCTAAGAGAACACATTTTGCATATTTTCTTGAATCCTATTAATTTGAGTGTTCTAGGACTGTAGTTTGAATTTATTCCCCAGTTTTCTGATTCTACTATAGTGAATTCTAATAAAATAGGAAACACTTGTATTGTGAAGGAATTAAGACATTTGTGATTGAGAACATTTTCTGAAAAGCATCTATTAATTTACAAGTAACCTTTCAGAATATCTCTGATGTTTTAAATGGCCTTTTTTGTATTCCTGATAGCTTATTTAGAAACTTATATAAAATTCCATACCATGATCTATCCATCCATACCTATGCTGGTTCCTTAATATAACATAATAAGGTTATTGGTTATTAAGGAAAATTTGGCAAAATAAGCCAAATCTTAGTTCCATATGAAGGGTTTAGAGCCCTCATATGTAGTGCCAAAAGGTCTTCAATATAGGATGGTGTCGTTTGAATGATGATCCCATAATATGTACCCAGGGATGCTTTATGCTCCAATGTATTTGGTTATGCAATTAGGATAGGAAATGCTTTTATATTTTTATAAAGTCCGAGGCTTTAAAAATATACTTTATTTAAAATTTGTATTAGAAGTTAATTTCATTTGAATTTATTGCACTTTTATGTCAGAAGATTGTTTTGCTTTTTAAATAGTTGAACAAAGTTAAAAAAAATAGTTTGAACATAGTAAAAGCCTATTGGTCACACATTTATAGATGCCTGCTTTGCATGAGGAACCATGCTGATGACCCTGGGTATAGATGCAATCTGTGGAAGCAATCTTTACCCTCGAGGAGATTACATTTCATACAGGAAAGCAGGACCTCTGTACATGGATATAGAGTTACTATGAAGAGAGTAAATAGAGACAAATACAAATTAGTGACATTCAAGGTAGTTTGCACTGGCTGTGGGGGGAAGAGGTCAAGAAAGGCTGTACTCTGATGACAGTGCTTAGGTTGGGTCATAGAGGAGGGGCAGAGACTCAGAAAGAATACATTCCAGCATGGAAGATAATCAGACCCAGAGACTGGAGATGGAGCATCATGGACGAGGAAAAGAGAGGAGGCCAGTTAGCTCAATCACAGAGTGCTGGAGAGGGAGGGACTTATAATTAGGAGAGATATGTTAGGGCAAAATGGAGAAGGACTTTATATTATATGATTCTATGGGTGGTAGGAAGCTAGTGCAGTTTGAGTGTGTCAGTGACATGGTCAGATCTGAGCTTAAAGAAAATTACTTGGGCAACACTGTGGAGGAAGGACTAAAGTAGTAGGAGGAGCCTTGAAGCAGTAACACTAATTAGGATGCTGATGAGAGCCTGATCTAAGGTTAGGTGTAAGAGATGTGGAGTTAAAAATAGCAAGATTTGGCAGTTGATTGTATAAATGAAATGAGAGAGTGAGAAATTGAGGATAATGCCACGATTTACAACCTGGGAGACAGTATCTTTGTAGTCTTGATGGTACTTTTAGTGGAAATAGGCAGTTTTGGCAAAGGGCTGGATTTTGGAGAAGGTAACTAATTCTCTTTTGGACATGCTGTGTCTGAGATATCCCATAGTCAATTGGTGATGTGAAATTGAAGTTCAGAGAAGAGACTTGGGTCTTGATATATTTATAGGTGATTCATCTACCAACAGGTGATAGATAACTAAACCCATGAGAGTTGATGAGGTCACCAAGAGAGAGTTTATAGAGGGAAGAATAGGTGGGCCTAGGAATCCTTTTTCTATATTTATACTGCCCTTACAGAAAAATTATATTGTCTAAAATGCTCTTTAGTGTGAGTTATCTATCTGCAGTCAAGAAAGTTAAATTTTTAACTGTTTTCATCAGTATGTACCTATAGTACATATATCACTAAATGGATTGCTGTACATTATTTTAATTTTGGGGGGTAGAATTTTCCATTGTAAGATTTGTTTTGAGTGGTGATTTTGTTCCATTTTAGCTGAGTAAAATAATGCAGTGACCACTGACTTCATCTATTTTTTAAAATGAGACCTCACCAGAAATTATTTTGGTGGTTTCTATTGGTGGAATGCCAAATAAGTACTATGTAATTTTGTTACATACCTAGTATATGTAGATTAAAGCATACTAACAATAAGAATATGAGTACCTACATGCTATAAAAACAGGAATATTAGTTTGCAGACTGTATTGAAGACCACCATAGCCATCAATACTAGGAGACTGCTCTTTGAAAACTGCTATTCTGTGATAGTACTTAACCATACAATGATAGTTCCTATGTGGTAAAGGACCATAAAATAAAGGTCATTGAAAATTGGGCTTCTTAGACTTCTGTTGAGTGAATAAATATTGAAAAGAAAAGACAGGATATTTTTTTTGGTGTTTATTCACAAGAGCTTTTTTTTTTTTTTATGTGCATCAGTGAAAAAAGTATATGAAATTGCTTAAGTACCATTCACAAATATCTTATTTATGGCCTATAGATCTTTTTTTAACCAGGACAGTTGAGTCTTTTTTTAAATAAAAAATTTATAATTTGAATATGTATCATATTTTTTTACTATATTTCCTCATTTAGAGTGTTAACAGTACTATCTCACAAAATTGAATTTAAATTTCTCTTTAAGAATATATTCTATACAAGGAGTAGCCCAAAGGAAATTAATTTTTAAAAAAAAGATTATTGGCTTAATTGATGATACATTTTAATAGTACTTTTTGCTTTGTTCTGCATATGTTATCATCAGTTTTTAAATAACACGTATAATAATACATCAAGATGTTTGTTCTTATAGATACATCCTTACACCTTTTCACATGATCACAGTTCTCTTTATCCTAAACATGGATCACACACACCTTTTCACATGATCACAGTTCTCTTTATCCTAAAATGGTATTTTCTTCATATTTTTTGCCTCTCCATACAGAAAATGTTACTTGGAAATTTTTGTTTTAGTCAAACACGATATGTAAAATTCTCTTAAAGAATTTGATGGTATGAGTGACACATTATTTAGGACTACTAATTTCAAAGACATAATATGATTTAGCTGATTGTATTTAGCTTTTCGGTTTTATTGGTGTTTTCTTCCCATAAAGTTTGTACTGTGAGGTTACTGATGATGAAGGTAAAGAGAAACCTTTTACTTTTAAAGCAACTTTAGAGCCAAAATCTTAAATTCAACTAAGCAAGAAAATATAGTGTCCTTTCTACTTAATTTTCTTATCAAAGCTCACAGTTTATTAACTTTTCCTTTAAAAATTTTGACTAAAATATATCTTTAGGTAATGTGTATCTGTTCTCCCCCTCCCTCCTTTTGGGTTTCATCTGGTCTTTTGCATGTTAGGGATTTATAACTCTTAGGAGCTGCTTAAAAATATGTGCTCTCCTCTAACTAAAGCACCCTGCAATCATTTTAACATAACTTTGCGATCTGTTGTATATATTGTTTTCTTTTCTTCCACCTTGACTGCAAATTCTCTCAGGTCTCCGCTGGTTCACCCTCCAAGCCATGGATGCCGTTCGACTCACAACAGCCCAATTCACACTGCTACTGGCTCACGACTTACTCAGAACTTCTCTGTGTCTGTTCCCACTCTCATCTACACTGGTACGAGACTGCTCAGACTCAGGAGCTGGGGAGAGACAGGCCACAGGCAGAGTGGTTGCAAAGGGCAGGCAGGCAGGCAGTGTAGGCAGGTACCACAAATCTTTTGTCCTTCCTTTTCTCACTGGAAGTCCTGCTGTCGGTGAAGAACTACTGTATTCAACTGCTAAAACAAAGGCTATAGTTGTTTGGAAGAGAAAGTGCCCTTTTCACTTCCAAAGTCTCTTCCATAGACCCATACACTTGTTTTCAAATTGTTTTGCATTTTCTTGGTTTTACTTGGAAACCAGAATTATGATTGGACAGGAAATTAATTTTTGTTCAAATTACCTGTATCTTCTTATTTTTCCTCTTTTATAAAACCTTTTAAATATGGCTTGTGTAATTCTGTGGAAGAGATCTTGTTGGAGAACAGGTAAGCAGTGATTCTGCACAAAACAAATGTTCAGTGTAGTTATATCCATTTTATTCATTGCTTTGTTTTTAGCTGTGGCACTCTTGATGCTATAGGATAAGGAAACATTTTTTTTTTGGAAGATATATATGTGTGCAAATATCAGTATATTTGAACATATTTACACACATTAGTTACAGTCATCATCATTTTTTTTTCTTTTGTAACTGGAATCAAAAAGCATTGTTTATTTGAAAATATTTTCAGCCATGTATTTATTCTCTTTGGTTATTTCTCTTTGGTATGTTTTTTTTTTCCCTGAGTCTGACATTTCATGCCTTTTACTTGGCTCGTTAACTGTTTCAGTGTAGTAATATTTGTCTGAAGAACACTGAATGGGTAAATAGAAATTCTTTGTCTTTGACCTCATCCCCAGCTTCACACTTAAGAAATGATTGCTGGCCCAGCCCCAACCCATCCCAACCTGGTGTTTGGATCATGCTGCCGTCAGCCAGGTCTTTGGCACATGATTGCTTAATATCTTTCCACCTTCTTCTGGCAGGATTCCCTTCAATGAAGATCCCAATCCCAATACTCACTCATCAGGACCCTCCACCCCTCTGAAAAATCAAACTTATTCCTTTTCACCTTCCAAGTCCTACAGTCGACAGTCCTCTTCTTCTGACACAGATTTGAGTTTGACACCCAAAACTGGTAAGGCGCTTCCACCCGCTTTTTTAATTTGGTTCTGTTCTTATTGGCTTTTCATCCAAACTTTTTCTTCTGCTTTTGGCATATAAGTTAATAAAAATGATGCCAACACTAATAATTTTAAACTGTCACAATTAAAATATGAATATATTTTTACAATGTAGGAATTAATTTGATGTGATTTCTATCACCTAGGTTGGTAACTCAGAGGTTTAAAAGTTCTTTGATAGTTTAAGTTTGAAAGACTAGATAACAAACACAATTCTTATTTTACCTGTAGACTTTTTTGTTTAATACTATAATTTGTTGGGAAACACATTCTTTTGCTAAAACATATTAGGTAGTTGAAGAGTTAACTTATTAGTAAAAAAGCAAAACCAGATTCCTCATGTAAAAAATATATTTTTGAGCTTATCTGTATTCTGTTTGTAGACCTCATTCTGAATTTAATCCTAAAAAATTTGTAATATTACAAAACAACACCTACAGAATCTCTCTGGGATGGTAGTGTCATATTAATAAGTGATTTATAATCATTAGTTTTAGAAGTTTGCTTGTTCCATCCTGTAAGGTAGAAAAATACCATTTTTACTTGTAATTTTTTCATATTTCTGAATTCTTATCCCCCCCACTCCCAAATGCTCCCTGTTCCTTCCATTCATTCCCCACAGGGGCCCCCTACTATGTCAGAATTTGTATAAAATATTTTTTGGGGTTGTCATCTGGTGCTTTTCCTTCATCTCTAGGATAGACTCCCCTCCCCCCCAAAAAAAGGCCAAGTCAAAAAATGACTTAAGAAATCAGAGAAATTAAAGAAATTGGGGTGATGGGACTTTTATAAACTGCATTTTGATCTGGGATATTTTTCCATGAGATTTAATCCATCTTCTAAAAATATATTTTGTCTTGTATCATTTTGGCTTACTATATTTTAATAACTTCTATATTTGCTGCTTGAAAACAAATTTAATTTTAAAAGCATGGGAGCTTAAGAATAAAGAAATTACTTGTGGGGTTTTTTTTTAAAGCTAAGCTAGATTTAATAAATGAAATTGTTAAACAGAACACAAATTGTGAAGAACATGATTTGGCAGTTTTGAGGATTACTTAAAAAGAAGCCTGAGCTTTCTGATTTTTAATTTCACGTCATGCTATAGGTAAAAATAATTCAGTATGTTAATCAGTAGTTCAGAATTTAACAAGTAGGTACATGCATTTATTTAGGTTATCTATCATGTTTAAAACAGTTGACAATTTAATTTAAATTGTAGTGTAATAAAAGTTTAAATTAAGACATCTGACTGTGGTACTTTTGACTTACTGATTCTAAAATAAATGAGACCCAAACTAAAATTGCTGATAGCAAAGACTTGAAGTCATGAAGAGTCATGGTTCTTTAAAGGGTAATTCTTTAGTCAGGCTTAAAAATATATTGCATTTTAGTTGGTGTAACAGTCATGTAACAATCATCAGGAGTAGCTTTTAATTTTCCTGTTTATTAGAAGTATAGGTAGCATCATTTCCAAGGCCTGTGCTGAAGCTCACATCCACGACTCTCAGTATTTGTTCTGAATCTAAATTGCTGTGCTTACAGTAATACACTATTTGTAAAAAGCTCTTACACTATTGGTTAGATCTTATGGATGTTGTTTCATGAGCTTTGAACAACTACTGTTTTCATCTTTGTGCAGAGGCAAGTCTCTTTAGAAATAACTGAAGTTTTTTAGAGTTTAGGAAATGAAAGTAGTAGATACCAGCCTGCAAATTTTTCCACTCTGTATACATAATAATTTGAAAAAAAAAAAGATTGCATTTAATTTGTGAAAAATGAATTGAATTTGTATTTTTTTCCTCTCCAAATTTCTTGTTTCCCTGATTTCTAACCATTTAAACTAACTGGATAGACCCTAGATTGTGTGTTTAGACCTAAGAGTCTTCACGCACATGTACTAAAGTTTTAATTATGTCCTCCACCCTTGTGGATACAAATACCTTAAGAACTCAGTTGTATGAGAAGTTGTGGTTGTAATAGAGGAACCAGTGAGCAAATTAACTGTAAGCACTGACTGGTTTCCCTGTTTTATTGTTTTCAAATAGCCTATAAGAAGATATTTCCCTAGAAATTGATGGTTTAATTCCTAAATTTCCTTCTTGTAGGTTACCCTTTTATGTTCCAGTTCATAACTGAACTGGATCAATGAAAACTATTTATAATTCATTTTTGTCCAAACCCCTAGAAACATTTATTTTGAGCTTTTATTTTTATTTTCTTGTAACTAAGGAGATAGACATATTTTGTTTATATAGTTTGAGGGATCCTAAATTAAAATTTATGCAGTGCCTTATATGCTTTTCATTTGGGTTGCCTGTTCTTATTAATTGCCTTAAACATTATGTTTCGAGTTTTATAAATGTCAAACTAAGTATAGACAGTATAGTTAATGCTTTAATTATTTGATTTTCTCTGAATCTGATGTATTCCTTGAAATTTAAATATATGTAAATAAATAAATCTATCTTCATATTTTCCTTACATTATGTGAAGACTAGGAGAGGGAGCCTGGTGTAGGTGATAAAGGGCTGTCATTGAAGTTTGAAAAAGCTATGTTCGTGTCCTGCTTCTGACACAATCAGTGTGACCATGGCAACTTTCCAAGATTAAATAATTTAGGCAGATGAAGACACTTGACACATAAGGAGTTCCCTACCTGATGAAATGATAGGTAGGGCAGAAAATAATTAGGATAATGTATAAATAGTTGAACATGCTTGGTAGTTGTCTCTACACATCTAGGAAAATAGAGTAGTTTTTTGCTTACTTCCTTATCTGCTTATTTTATTTCTATATACTTTCAGAAATAATTTGAGGCAGCTTCCAAAATGAAGAGTAAGAAAGCTGAAAATGAAAAAGGAGAAAATATGTTCAAAGAAATATAACATTACTACATGTAAATTATTTAAAGCCCATCTCAGAAATGATTAACTGATTATTATGAACAAAGTAATCAGAATTGAAATATAAAATATGGCTGAAAGAGGAAGTAATTTTTTTTTTTGTAGGTAGAGGTCAGCATCTATATTTAGGAAGTTTTAAATTTATTTCTTTTTCATTACCTTTTCAAAAAATTTAAGTAATTTAGAATCCAAAATTCTATACTGTTAATTAGTTTCTATATTTACTATTATGATCATAGTTCCTTTCACTGGTAAACTTCTGTGCTTTATTGATTTTATCTTAGCTCTTTATGTAGTCTGTGTATCCTATATATAGTATGGTATACTATATATATTATATATACAGTGATATATGTATGTATATATACACACACACATACTGTAGTAGTATAGTGGAATATGTTTTATGTTGGTCTTTGGGGGACAGGCCTAAAATACTGGATATAGTTGTTTTGATTCGTGGCATATCATTTGATCTTTAGTAAAGTCACCTCTTTGTGATAATAGACTGGTTGGTAATATCTTTATCAAAGAGAAAAAAACCATTTAAAAATATTGATGATATATTTTAAATTTGCATAAGAAGAGTATTGCTTGACTTAATTCAATTAAGTCAGAAAAACACCTATCTATTTTTATTGAAACAAATTTTGTACTAAATAGCAAATGGAATCATTAAAATAGAACAGCCAAATTGATGTGATGACATATCCATTTAAAACTTTTTTAGTGTATTTTACACTTAATATACTGTTTTAGTGTGCATTGCAACAATTTTGTTTTGTGCACACAGACATATTTAAAATTACAACTCACCCAAGTTTTAGGCCTTACATTTATTTTAAATTAGTATTTGAACTTTAAAAATACAGGTAGCTTAAATTTAATAAATTATTGAAGTAATTTAAAACTGGCTAAGATATCATGAAATCTAAAGATACTAAGGAATACTAAAGAACCTATTAAGGAATACTAAAGAACCTACTAAATAAAACTTACAGTAAGTGTTTTCATTTTAAAGTCTGTATAATATGCTTTTCATCTACATTGTGACATTATATGGTCTTGGCATTACTGTTTCCTAATGGGAACTTTTCATAAGGTGGCTGTATATGTCTGCATTTTAAAAAATTCATTTTTTGATGTTATATTTTGTTTCATCATTGCTTTCCTTATCCTGCTTTTTCTGGTCATCTTCTGAATCTCCATCTTTTCTCTACCACTTTCCTCCACAGCACCTTACCCACAGGGGCCTAGGATTTTCCTGTGTCCTAGCTCCCCCTTTCTCTCTTCTGGTTCCCCTCATCTTAAAAAGTCCTGTCTCCTCTCGGAATCTAGCCTTACCCCTCATCACTCTAGCCATATCAGCCCAGTTGTTCTGAGGAAAAGTGTTTCTTTCAGTGAAGAGTTGCTCCTGGCTGCTTCTGGTAGGATCAAGCTATAACAGCTTTTTTTACCCCTTTTTTTTTAAAATCACAATTTAACAAAGTAATTGTAGTCTTATAAGAAATTATTGGGTATTATACATGGAGCCTCTATTTTTCTTATTTACAAAAGGAAAAAAACCCTATATGAGACAGTTACTGAGTTCACTCATGAGTATTTAAGTGTTTAATATTTTTTTTTGAAAAATGATGCTGACAGCATATATGTAATATATATTTTACTATGTTTAAAAATTTTATGTTTTCAAGAAATTAAGACCTAAGAATAAATACCTTGCCTTCCAATCAGTAGGATTCCTATTTTGGTTCATATACTTGAACTTCTCTTCACATCAACTTCATTCATATTATTGGATCCCTGTATCATGTTGTTAGCAGCCATTTGAAAATGTAGTTATTTTGTTCAAATTAGTTTGTATCATTAGGGCCATACTTTTCATTTTCGCTTTCCCTTATTTCATTCTATTGGCATAAACATCATAATGTTCTGCTAAGATTCTTTTGTGGTAGTGGTGTATTTTTTTTTCCTCTCTTAGGAATCCATTTTGCTTTGTGCTCTCAGTATGCTTTGTATAAAGATCTTCGTTTTGTGTCTCTAGTTAGTATTGTATAGTCCCTAGAAAGTATGATATTAGTTAAAACAGTTAATTTTTCTGGGAAAAAAAAAACATCAGAATGGGACTATACATATGCTAATCTTTGTTTCCTTATCCAAGAACAGCTAAAAATATACTAGTTCTTACATAAGTATACTAGTTTTTACATAGGGAATTTTACTAAGCTTGACTGTATACATTAATTTTGAATAGAGTGGGATTGAGTTGTTAACTTTAGTGTGTCAGATTCTTGCCTCTCACCTGTACCCTGATGTTCATAATATAATTCTTTTACCCTGATTCAGTCAGTTGATATTATCAAAAGAAGAAGAAAAGGTAGGGAAAGTAATTTAACAATAAGATTTTGAAATATAGGTAAATGTTTGCTAAATGCAGTTCCTTCATTTAAAACTATGTCTATTTGTGATTTTCTTATTACATATTTTGGGTTTTAAGCTTATTATTTTGTGTTGAGTTCTATGAGAGGGCTTTGAAAAGTATGAATGTCATTAGACAATGATATGGTAGATCACAATTTAGATTTTAAACAGTACTTTGAAATAGCTTAAACATTTGGGTTCACTAGAATATTTTGAAGCAGTCATTGAATTTCCTTGTGACTTTTACATGTAAATATAGGTAAATATATACCAATATAGTCCTTTGGCATGATAATCAATTTTATTTAAAATCATTGAGTTTTAAAGTGGGGAAGGATGAACTAATCCAGCATACCACCATTTTACCGATGAGGAAACTGACATAGACAGAGAAGTTATGTGTTTTACCCAAGGTCATGTGGGAAGTTATTGTCATTGATTATATATTTCAAACTAATATATAGAAACAAATTTACTTTTACTAGGCACTTATTCATAGTTAGAATTTTTTTTTGACACTTCAGCATTATTTCTATGATTAAAAGAAGGTAGCCTAAAATTATGCAACATTTAGACTTTGTGAAAAACATTATAAGCCTATTTCTAGTATACTAGGAAACCTTGACTGTTAAGGAAAATTTCAACATACAGAATAAAGTATTTGACCATATTTGATTTATTTGTTTTGATGATACTAATTTAATAATAAAATATTTTGCTTGGTACACTTTAGAATAATTCTGGGGGGCTCATGGCAGAAAAATAATTGCACTGAAGTTTTCTGTTTCTATGAAAGTTGTTTGTTTCCATAGATATTATTTATGTACTGATATTCCTTAGGAATGGGCAGTGGGAGTGCTGGAAAAGAAGGGGGGCCATTTAAAGCTCTGTTAAGACAGCAGACTCAATCAGCGCTGGAACAGAGGGTAAGGAATCACAATTTCACAATAATTTCATTATTCTTACATTGTTAATGGTGTAAAAGAAATGTCATGCATTGGTGTGATTTTATTACTTTATGTTTAATTTTCTTTGTAGAGTATGTTTTCATAAGTTACTCTAAAGAGTTTAAGATAGCAATAATATGGTTTTTAAAACTTATCATGTGTTTAAAATATTAGCCTATATATTCTTATACTATAAAACTGATGTGGAATAACCACTGAATGAAATTAACATTTTTTTTGTCTTGCAATCTAATTATAGATAACATTGAAAAAAGATTATACTATGTTTAGAAGTTTTTCTTTTCTAATTTGTTTTCCAAATGTTATTTCTAATTTGTTTTTCAAATGATATTGTGGAAAATAAGTAATAAGTCATTTCAGTTATAGTTAATGTAGTTAAAAATAATCCCTATATTTTATTTTCTTAGATTATTCTTACCATTGCCCAGTCCCATGAAAATAATAACGAATTCACAAATTTCATATTTGGATTTTTTTAATGTCACTGATGTTATTTAGGCATCCTTATTGTTTCTTGTAAACTAAATATATATATTGAAATATATCAGGAGGAAAACAAATAGTTATAGTTTTTGGATGATTTTCTCTTTTCCTTTTTTGTGTTACTCCATTGCTAAGGGAGGATCGCCTCATAGGTTCTGTAGAACTTGGGTATGTTTCTAAAAATGTGTGAGAGTCTTTTTGTTTCTTGGATTGAGAGCTTTTAAAATTTTAATCTTGATTATTTAAAATTTATTTAAGCTTTTTCTTTTTCTTTGGAAATGTTGCTAGTTTTTTTTCCTGTTCATAATATACCATGTTAATATATTTAATTTAACAGCACTTGTGAGGCCTATTAAATAATATAATGCATGATAATATATTAATTTAATTTATTTTTAAAACGTTTATCGTTAGCTTTCAGTCACTTATGATTTTATTTTTAAAGTTAGAAGCATTTTTTAGAAAAGAAAATCTTTTCTTACATTTCCTATTTTATGCTGGCATTTAAAAATACATATAAAATTCTATTATGACAAATACCAATCACTATAAAGAAGGATTCTGCATACCACACTATTCTGTATTACCAAAATAGTTTTTGTAGACGAATTCTTTCCTCAATCCTTTTCCCTATGGCTGTGTGTGCAGGGAAGGAGAAATTAGCTGAATTGAGAGCTAAGCAGGAACTATCTTGCTTTATCATTAAGTAATAGATAACCTTTCAACTCTTCTTTACCTCTTCTGCATTTAAACTTCTCAGCTAATCCCACCTGAGTAACCTACCATATAGCCGTACCCTAAAAGAAGCATACAAAAAAATCTACAATCTTAAAGGAGACAGCAGATGAGAATAAAGGTATATGCATTTAACAGCCTCCTACTTTCCCTTACTGGATTTAAGAACCCTTTAAAAAATTTTTAATTCACTATCCCTAATCTTTGAATCCTCTTTTTCTCCAGTTTCCTCAGAGTAGAAATATGATTTCAACCAAATCATAATAATTATAAGTCAACAACTCGAGGTCTCCTGGACTTTGATTTAATGGAATTTTATATGTATATTATGTCTTTAATATGTCTTTGCCAAAAACTTTACATCTGTCTTTAAAAATACAGTGAATATTACTTTGAATTTTAGTCTAGAATTTGATTTTAAAGCAAACTTGAAGCCCATAGGGTTGTCTAAATAGGATTTGAAATTTGCCGTGTTGTAAGGTATAATTTCATACCTGACCTGTAAAAACTAAACCTGTATTGTTTAGTCTCTGGGTATCTATTGAAAATGCAGGAAGTCCAGTAATCTGATGTAATGGGTTTAGTGTAACCTGTTTATATGTTTTTTTGTTTACCTGTGGCTGTGTCGCTAATGTGACATGTTTTAAGGAATGTTTAGAACTAGAACTGCTGAAGCATGCAGCATATTTTCTACATGGACCCAAGCACATGTCTAAACCCTTTCTGTTTGAACCGTAGATTGTACTTAATGCTATGGATCCACTTATGTCCTGATTCTCTTCACACCCTATTTTCTTCCTTGTAGAGCAAGGAGTATACTTTAAATCTTTATTTGAGAAAAGAAAAGAAATCCTTTCTCTGCCCAACATCTTACATAGATTACTGTTTCATGTGCCAAAAAAGTAAGCACTTCAATGATATGTATCTGCTTCATAGAAGGAAAAGAGGAAGATAAATGTATTTAAGTTTTTTAATGACTTCAGGTTCTACATGTAGACTGTTTTCATTAACACCAGTACAGTTGTTTTCCATCAGTATCTCACTTTCCCCAAAAGTAAGGCAGTTGTTTTCTGTGTGTAGCATATTGGCTGCTTCCTAAATTTTAATTGTTGCTTATAATCTATAGCTAGATGACACAGTGGTTAGAGTGCTGGGCCTGGAGTTAAGAAGACCTGAGTTCAAATTCAGCCTCAGATTCTGACTGTGTGACCTTGGGCAAGTCATTTAACCTCTTTTTTTTTTTGCCTCAGTTTCCTCAGCTGTAAAATGGGGGCAACAATTGCACCTACCTCAAGGTTTTTATGAGCGTAAAATGAGATATTTGTAAACTTCTTAGTAGAATACCTGACACATAGTAGGTGCTATATAAATGCCTATTCCTTTCCCCCTCCAAAAAATCTGGTCTGATACAGTAGTACAGGTAACTTGTTTGATTATGATAGCTTCCTTCAGAGGAAGTTCTTTTTTGTATTACCATTATGGATATTCCACATTAGCAGCATGAACATATTGTTAACTATATAAAGGAAAGATCTAAATCTTGCTTTTGATATTTATGGATATGTAAGAACACATAGTTTTTGTCTTATTTTAAAGGATATAGGTTACTTTCATGAAGTTGTCTTAATGTCTCCTTGTCTAAGTCTTTGAGATTTAAGCCTCTTTAATATAGCCCTTTAATGTACTGTCAAAACTCTGCTTCTTGGACATTTCACATAATATTAATGTTCTATAAGCTAGATACCATAGAGAGTAACTACAGAGTAAGGAAGCCCAGAAATTCACAGGAGACACTAAGAAAGAATCCAGTCTTAAATGTTTATACAGAAGGATGCAAAGTATTCTTTGCAAACAAGCAAAACTTCCCTACAAGTAGAATTACCTAAAAGTGGAACGGGTCACTTCAGAAAGCAGTATATACTTCTAGTTGAAGATCTTCCCTAACTAATGATAGACCTATTATAAATAGGACTCTTGTTCACATATAGGTTGTACTACATGGCTTTGGAGATTCCTTCAGACTCTGAGTCTATGCTTCTTAAAGGAAATCTAAAATTCTATTTTATGTGTATGTTTTAATGATTAAAAAATAACCTGCCACTTTAGGGGGAAAAGATAAAATAAACTCTAAATGCAAATTTTTCTTCCTGGACCTTATCTTTAAGAGGTTTGTGTAGTTTTGCATGAATGAGCACTTTTAGCTGGTATATTTTGATAACCCCATGAGTAGATCAATAACTTTCTTGTCTTTCTTTGCCTGTTGAGCTAAACTTAACCGCTATTACTCATCTCCTTTTTACTTTATCTTTGCAGGGCCTTTGTTTAGTATTTTATTTTCCCCCAATTTTTAACATTTGTTTTTAAAACTTCTTTAAAAGTTCCAAATTTTCTCCTTTTCTCCTTCCCCACCCCCCACCCGATTGAGAAGACAAACAGTTCGATGTAGGTCATACATATGTAGTCATGCAAAGCATTTCCATATTAGTCATGTTGTGAAAGAAAACATAGACCAAAAAAAAAAACTAAAGAAAAATAAAAAAGTGAAAAAATATGCTTCAGTCTTTATTCAGACACTATCAGTTTCTCTAGCCATCATAAGTGGCTTCAGACAACTTCAGAGTTGTCTAGGATCATTGTATTATTGAGAATAGCTAAGTCATTCACAGCTGATCATCTTACAATGTTGCTGTCATTTTGTACACAGTACATTTCACTTTGCATCAGATCATGTAAGTCTTTCCAGGTTTTTCTGAGAGCATCCTGCTCACCATTTCTTACAGGACAATCCATCATAATCACATACCACAGTTTTTTCAGCCATTCCCAACTGATGGGTATTCTCTCAATTTCCAATTCTTTGCCACCAGAAAAGAACTGCTTTAAATATTTTTGTGCAAATAGGTCCTTTTCTTTTTTTTTTTTTTTTTAAATCTCTGTTGGGATATAGACCTAGTAGTGGCATTGCTAGGTCAGAGGGTATGCATGGTTTTATAGCCCTTTGGGCATAGTTCCAAATTGCTGTACAGAGTGGTTGAATCAGTTTACAACTCTACCAACAGTGCATTAATGTCTCATTTTTCCTACATCCCTTCCAACATATATCATTTGTCTTTTATGTCCTATTAGCCAATCTAATAGGTATGAGGTAGTACCTCAGAATTGTTTTCATTTGTATTTCTCCAATCAGTAGTGAGTTAGAGCCTTTTTTTTTCATATGGCTATAGATAACTTTGATTACTTCATCAGAAAACTGTTCATATCTTATTTTTATAAATTTGACTCAAGTTCTTTATATGTTTGAGAAATGAAGCCTTTATTGGAGAAATTTGCTTCAAAATGATTTTTCTTTGAAGAACTCAAATAAGTTGGCATGTGTGAAGTACCTTTCCATATTAAAGCACTATAAAATGCTAATTTTTATTATTATTAAGACCTGAAAAATGACCTTTTTTAATAGCAGCAGCAACAAAAGTAGCTGGGTATATGTCACTTTGAAAACTGAAGTTTTACAAAGTGCTTTTAGAAAAATTCTAAATTGACCCTCCTAACCATGAGATAGGTTAACTAATAGGTACTGTGTGTCCAGGGTCACATGGCTATTGTCAGAGAGAGGAACCAGGCCCATCTTCAGGATTCCAAGCTCAGTGCATTTTCCATTATGTCACATTGCCTCTCTCCTTAGGTGTAGATACTGGGTTGTTATTTCTTTAAAGGGGCAGCCTAAACTAATAGTGAACAATTGTTTCTCTATGTATGGGTTCTTATCTTTTTATTGTGTCATGGGTGCCTTTGGCAATCTGCTCAAACCTGTGGACCTGTTATCAGAATAACATTTGAAATTGAAGGAATTATTCAATTTCAGGTAGAGAATAGTGATAAATAAAGATGTAATTTTTTTTTCCCATTCAATTCATGGACCCCTATCCACATACCTCTTTAAAGGGTCCATGACCTCAGATTAAGAGCCCTTAGTGTATGACACTATATAACATCTCTTTAGCTTTGCTTATGAGTTTCTTAAATTATTTATGTACTACTATTTAATTTGTGACTACCTGTAAAATGTGATTTTTACAAAATGTAATACTCAAATTTCCTTTTTGATAGTGATACTTTGATGTACTTGGGATCAAATTGATAGAAATAATGCCTTTAGTAGTGCAGATTCTAATCCATCCTGACCATTTTATCCAGTTATTCTTATGTATGCTTGTAATAGGTGATAGTGGATAAAGTACTGGGCTTGGAATCAAGAATCAAGGAATCAAGAAGACCTGAGTTCAGATCCTTCCTCAGATACTTACTAGCTTTGTTACCAAAGGCAAACCACTTAATGTCTCTTAACCTCAGTTTTCTCATTTGTAAAATGAAGATATTGATAATAACCTACCTTGCAGGGTTTTTTCAAGGATTAAATGAGATAATGTTTAAATTACCTTGCAAACATTAAAGTGCTGTGTAATTATTATTAATACTATTCCTCCATAGGGGGACCACCAAAAATGTAACGGGGCAGGAAAGATTAAAGTAGGAAACTAATGAAGCACATAGATTGTCCATTACATGTCTTTTGTCCTTGTGTTATAACTGATCTACCCTCTTTTCTGGTCATACATCTCTAGGACTGTATTCTTAATACCATTTCTCCCATTCAGTTTTTTGTTGGTAATATACTTCAGTGGACTCTCTGTCACCACATACCTTTCTGTTGCCTTTTAGCTTACCCATAATTCTTAAACATTCAGAGATTGATATTTTCTTTCTTTAGCCATTAAACATCACTAAAAGAATATTGGTGTTAAAAACAGCAGGCCTTTGTCACAGGATGAATCCTGGGGTTTTAAAATCACTAAGTAATTTGTGAATAAATGGCATGAGTTTATTAATACATGGGGACTTTGAAGACTTTCTTTTTGACCTTCAAAGCCTTTTTCTTATTTTAATTTTTGATCCTAAGCTGAATTTCAGACCAATGATCTTCAGAAAACGTGTTAGTAGATGTTAGTATGCTTATTCACTAGCTATAGGAAACATATACACTAATTAGTTCCCATTCTTCCTTCTTATTCCCATCTCTCCCAGAAATTTCCCTTGTATTTGTCATGTCAGAGTTAGAGACCCACTTCACTTCTTTTTCTCCCTTTTACCACCATCTTTACTAAAGACTTTGGCCAAGGTGATGAGAGATAACTTGGATTTGAAGGAGTCCCTGATTGTTAGGGCTGTAGTGGGAGTGAAATATATACTTAATCCCAGGAACTCTGAAAGTGTTTTCCTGTGGAAACATTGTTATACATAATTGTTTTTTGTTCTATTAGTATTAGGTTTACAAAGTACTTTACTTATCTTATTTGATTCTCACAATCCTGTGAGATAGGTGCTTTTATTTCCTTTCCTTTCCTCTTCTCCCCCTTATTTTTTAGATAAGTAAACTGAGGTTGAGGCCTCAATGGTTAAGTGACTTGCTTAGGATCATAGTTAAAAGGTGTCTGAAGCAGAATTTGAACTCAGGCCTTTTTGATGTCCATTGCTCTTCATCTACTATACCATCTAAGTGCCTTAACTTACTGATAAGTTACAAATGAAGTACATGATATATTTTTTAAAAATATATCTAGAACTGGCATGCTTCTGATTTCAGTGGAGAATAAAAAACATAATTGACATATGTTATTAAAATTTTACAAGTTATTGACTGAATTTCCCCCCACCTCTCATTTTTCCTACTAGGAATTTCCATTTTTCACTTTGACGGCATTTCCTCCTGGATTTCTTGTGCATGTTGGGGGTGTTGTTAGTGCACGCTCTGTGAAACTTTTGGATCGAATCCACAATCCTGGTATGTTGAAAAAAGAAAAATTGTTATGTAAAATGTTTTATTAAGTTTAGGTTTTGATTTTTAAAATGATTTCTATAAATTGTATTTCACTTTTAAAGCCAAAATCCTCTAAAAATAGGTTTACAAGAAAGTATTATTTTAAAGATATTTCTAACCATCTCATTCATTTATATCTATTTTTAAAAATGACTTCAAACACATTGTTAAAAACACATTCACTTATTTTGAATTATATTCTGGCCAAAAAGGTATCTTGAGGGTGACCTTTTAAGGTTGACATCTTTGAAGCTAGAAGATAAAATCTTATCTTTCATTATTATTATTATTAGTTCCTTCTGTGTTGCAATTAATATTTATAAATTGCTTATTTAAGTAGTTCCTTTCCTACTTAAAGAAGAATTTTAAAACTTAATTGGAAAAGTATATATAAATTTATAGTATAATTAAGAATTTTCAAAATATTTTTTATATTTCTTTGGTATTCACGTTTACTACATGTAGCAGTTCATTTATATTAAAAAAAGTGATAGTTTTCCTTCATAGTCCTTCGTCATAATTATAAAGGAACAAAAGAAGTAGGCAGCCAAGCCTCAATAATTCCAGGCACTTGGTTTACACATTAATAAAGAATTTTTCTAAATTGTAAACTAGCAAAATAGAAAACAGTTACCTTCCTGAACAGTAACCTCTAAAATCTTCTGAATTCTTACATTCTAAATGGAATATTATTCTTCTGTCATTGACTTGATGTATGATCTTGCCAAGGTTAAACATTTTTGTGATGTAATGTCAGTATCTCTCTCTTTCTGTGTCTCTCTCCATATATGTAGCACGTGGTGTATATTAACTGTTTCCTTACACATATTTTTTTACTTATCAGTTCTCATATCCTCTCCATGAGTACACATATTGACACCATAAAAAAATAAAGTGTTTTGAAGTTTTCAGGTGAAAAGCATAATCTACATATGAGTTTTGTTTTGTTTTTTTCTTTTCCCAGAGCATTAAAATCCATGTTCGCTTAATGTCTTGGTTTCGGGAGTTAAATTAGTAGTAATTCACTGTAATTTGGGTCATTTTTAATTTTTGGAAAAGCAAAGTAAGAATACTTAGAAAATTATATATATGTAAATTTTTGTATTGGGGATTGGAGTTCTGAAAAAAGGTTTCAGGGAAGTGATATTTACTTTGGGTGTGCATGCATGAGCCAGGATTATTTAGCTTTAAAGGTTGGCAGCTGCATCTTTTTAAAGCATCAGTCTTCTCTTCCCTCCTACCCCCTTCTGTTTGTTCTGTTTTATCTTCTTTTGTTCTAGTTAAAACTTAGATTCAGTGTTAGAACTGGAAGAAAGATTAGAGGTCATTATTTGATCTTTCTTTAAATAGCATTAAGTTATTTGTTGTTGTAACATGTGGAAAATCCAGATTAATAATTTATCATACTAATACCTCTTAAAGAGATTGGTACTTCTGTTTATATAGTCAGTTCCAAATCTGTATTTTTATGTCCTTGTATATTTGGACAAAGCAATGAAAATGTGAATTTAGAAGATCTTATAAAACTTGCTGTACTGACCACATTCTATCAACATGAAAACTTTGACTCAAACATTTTGTTGTTAAATAACATTTACCACCCAGCCACAGAGAAACAATAAAAGTATTTTTTAAGCATAAATACAAGTTTGGTTGGAATCTTCTTTCAGCTAAAAATATTTGTTTTAATGTTTTACCATCCTGTGCTCTGATTAAGTTGTGGAGTCTGGGAGAGCAACTTATGTATATGATAGATGCTTAAGCCAAAGTATGGTGTTTATAAAATCAATTCAATTCAACAAATGTTTATTAAATGCCTATGATATGAAGGGCACTGTTATGTGTCCTGAGTCAATTCTTTTTTTAAAGAATTATTCTCAGTATGGTTTAGTACAAGCTACCCATGTAGCAAACATCCCTAAATGTGGTGAAGTATCTTGTCTTAATGACCATCAAATCACTGATGGCTTTTCTTCTTCCTTTGAAAATATTTTTTGGCTGTCAAATCAACATAGCATGAATCCTGGGTTTATTTGTTTGTTTGTTATGAAACTAGAATACCTGTCACTAGCCTCTCTGTCCTGTGAGAGTGAATTAATGTTTAAAAATAAAACTTGAATTTAGGTTTTATTTAAAGTTAACTACACACACACACACACACACACACACACACACACACACATTCATTGTATTGGTTTCTATTGAAGATGATTTTGGTTAAAATGTGACTTATGTAAACATTTATTATGTATTATAAAAGGAATTCATACTCAAGGATAGTAAATTGAATTTAAAATAAATACCAAAAAATACTTATTAAGATTCTTCCCTTTTGAAAAAAGTTTAAAAAGATTAAAACAGTTCAAAAGATTATAATGTATTTGATTATCTGAATTCATTAGCATACATTGATGATAATGTTAAGGGAGAAACTGATGGTAAATTGAGATGCATGGGCTTATTTTAACAGGTGCTCTGTTTGTACTCTCAAATTAATTTATCAGAATTTTTGAAGCCACATTTTGATTTATCTTGACCAGGAAATGTAGGAAATTATTTCAAAGTACTTAAGGGAAGCTTTTATTCTGAAGATAGCAATACAACTTTATAAAGTTGTGATTTTGGAAGTATTTTATTGTTACCCTCCCTGCTTTTTCCTCCCTTCCCTGTCCACTAAATGTTAAGATAGAGAAAAATCATGGTAAAAATAACTATTTTAGATTGTATAGCAAAGGGAAAAATGGAGTGGCTCTTAATATTAAGGTATTCCTCATAGAGGATAGATTTTTAAATTGCTATAGCATGCGCCTTTTTCCCTTTCTATTTCAACTTCTTATTAACTTTACTGTCTGTCTTTCCAGTTCCTGTGGAATGGTGTTGTCAATTATGTTCTTGTTTGTAGTTTTATTTTCTACTATTCTGCTCCTAAAACTAATCTACTAATTTGATGTTTTGAACTCAGCCTTTGTCGGAATTATGGGTAACACAAGATCTTACAAACTGCTAGACTGGAATAGTTTCAATTCAGGTATTTTATTAGTCATTCAGTACTACATATGCTGACAAAAATTATGGCAGCTCAGTGAAGTTTTTAGAAATGTTTTTATTAATTAGGTATAGTGCAAATTCAAGTGTGTTAATTTTTGCAATATAACTACACATGTGTGTATATATATATATATATATACACACCCATTGCCTGTAGCTTTCCTCCAGAATTCAAGATTACGATCTATTATCCCTTAGTAAAAACTTGTTAAAACTTTTAACTAATTTTATTCTGAAAAGGTTGGGCCTTTCATTTTATTATTTCAGATCTCAATTAGGATTATTTACCTATTCACTTGATTATTTTATAAGTATTTTCACCTTTTCAATAGGTAAAAAAAATGAGTAGATATAAAAATAACTTACTTGAAAATCCCTAAGTGATTTAACGCAGCTCAAACTCAGTCAGGATTGCGAGTTAAAGTTGAACTGATTCTTTCATATGAATTAACTAAAACAAAACAAAAAACATTTAAACTGTTGAGTTCATAAATATGCAATTTTCAGAATAATATCCTTAAGTTATATTTAATGGAATTTAGGGTGTTCTCTACATCAAGTATATGATTCTTTAAAAAAAAACATTATTTATAAGTTTAGGCATATTTTAACATAATTTTAGGCACATATTAAAGATGTTATATACTTGAAATATCAATTTTTATTATTTCAAAATAGAATATAAAATAGACTTAGAACTATGTTTGCTTTTACTATTTCAAATGTTCTTTGCAACATTAAAAAATTGAGTACATAAGAATTTGGATTACTGTTCCAGAAGTAAACAAAAGTTTGAGAAATCAGAAACAGAAATATCTTGGACTAAATCCTTCTGTATTCCTTCAGTGGTTTTTTTTTTTTTTTTTTTTGGTTGATGTTTTTGTTTTTTTTCTGTGAATGGAGGTCCCTTTTTTGTTTTGAGGGAATTTTACATAGGGACATATTTTGGAAGAGAGTGAAAAATCTGTCCTGTAATCTTAAGGTAAATTAATAGAAGAAAAATAACTTCATAGATGATGATATTGTTTAGAATGAAAATGAATATTTTTTTGTTCTTGGTATCTTAGTAAAATTATTTAAATAGTTAATATTTCACTAATACTTAAAATAGGATATTTATATCATCCTTTTTTTCTTAGAAAACATGAGGTAATAAAATTATGTTATGATTAAGTTTCATAAATTGGTACTTTACCTAAAGATCCTATGTAATTCTTTAATTTCATATATCAAAATGTATCAGTAAAACTTCTTACATAGGATATTAGAATATGTCCCATAATCTTCTCATTATTGAAGAGTGTGTTTTTTTGTCTTAGGAGTCCAGGATTCAAATCTGAAGTAAGTAATGCATGTAGGACTTGTAAGCTACTCAGATTGCCTATTCATCATGCAGATTTGCCTAAATTCAGTCTAGTAGGAGAATCGTAATCGGGTATAACCTTTGCAAGCCTAGACTGCATTGATTGGCAAATCTTTAGGAAAATTGTTTCCTGTCTGAGTTTTTACTAGCATGCTCTCACTTTGATTAGCGTAAAAATAGCTAAATACATAATAGTTAGATGGCATTTTCTAATTTTAAAAAATTGTTAAAGTTTCAGTGGAATTTCATTTAAATTCATCATGAATTAAATATTATGAGGAATTTAAAATATTAAACTGAATATATTCAGTAATGACCAATTAGAATATGCTATTTTTAAAACTTAAGAGGCAGTGTAGTCTATTGGAAAGAACTGTTGCTGAAGGAGGAGAAAGAAGATGAAGTCTGTTCTGGACTCTACTTTTCACTGGCCTGGGATCTCAAGGCATTAGCCTTCTTGAACTTCAGTTTTTGACTATAAAATGGACAGAAGCTCTTTCCTGTCTGTCTCATTGGCATGTTTTAAGAAGCAAAGGAAATAATCTTTGTGAAA